TTGTAGGCCAAAAACATCTGGGGATCCAGGTTGAGAACCACTGCCTTAACCCATCCATGCAAGCAAGAACACTCAACTCCAATATCAAGTTGACATGGGGTTGAAGAACTAGGTCACTGCTCTATAGCTAAGGCAAGAATTGCTGGTTTATACAGCACTGTAGTTTGTAGATTACAAGGCCCCCAGAATACAATTTAAATACTACTGCTTTAGTCTGTTCTATGGTCCCATGTTGGTCATGATAAACTGAGAGTCGGAATATTTTAATGACCAAATCTCCATAACTGAGAGTTGAATGGAGCTCTGCTGTCACTTTTAAATTCACATTTTCTCATGGCCTCTTGATGATGGTATTCTAAATTTGCTACCATCCCTTTGTTTCCTGAAGTTATTCTGGTATCTTGCAAGGAATGATGAAATGTAGGGACAAAAGAGCATGCCGGGGAACAGATGAATCAAATGAAAGGTACGAAGTGTACAGCTGAACTAACCTCATGGAAAAAATAGGTTGGGTTGTGTAAGCCTACTGTGAATTTATTTGATTCCAGTCCTGTTGCTCATAAGCAGATCCTGGAAAATTTCACTTAATTCCTGGCCTAGAGTTACTTTATGTTGACCATTTTAGTAAAATTGATTCTGTGGTTGCTGTTTTTTGAGGTAAGATTTGATGTCCTTCAGATTCAGTTCATGATGGAGGCAAAAAGGGCATTTGTTTTAACACTTTCAGTTACTTAGATTCAGAGGAGTTTGTTGATGTGAGTCACGGATAAACGTAAAACTACCATGTACAATCATACAGATTATTCACAATGCATACTGTCTGTACTTACCAACAATATATATCTAGAGAACAAAAAATGTCAGCCTGGAAGACACTGGCTCTAATCAAGACCTCTAGATCATGTTTCAAGCTTATAAAGCTACGCAACTAAAATATGTATAAAATGAAGATTCTGCTAAACACAGGCTACTGCCTCAGAACAAAATGCTCTTTGCATGACAGATCATTCAGATAGGTCTTCTTCTGCTATCAAGGTCTTCCATGTCCTTGCTGATACATTGGTATATACAATCAGTGCTCCACATTTGTGAATTTTTACAGATTTGATTAGTAGTTCTGATTAAAATATTCTCCATCTGTGAATCTAGGGTTAAGATCTGCCAGAAGCTGACACAGAGTCATTCTGTAAGGCATCCTCCAACTGTGGCCCTCCAGCTGTTTGGGCCTTCAAGTTCCAGAATTCCTGACAATTGAATGAACTTGTTAGGGCTTCTGGGAGTTGGAGGCCCAAACAGCTGGAGGGACGCAGTTTGAGGATGCCTGCTGTAAGATCTAAAGATCTCTCAGGCTCAGTGGTTCTCAACCTGTGGGTCCCCAGGTCTAAAACTCCCTGAAATCCCAGCCAGTTTACCAGCTGTTAGAATTTCTGGGAGTTGAAGGCCAAAACATCTGGAGACCCTTAGATTGAGAACCACTGCTCTAAGCAGTTGTTCTCTTTAGGCATCTGTAGGTCATCTAGCCTAATTCTATAGTCAACTTTTCTAGGTCATCCAGTGCAGTTCTATGGTAAACTTCTGGAAGCCAACCATTAAATCATACTGGAGGACCTAGAACAGAGCTTTCCAAACATTTTTAGACATGCATGACTTAATGTCACATTAACTCAGTTTTACTAGCAAACTGTAGGTTAAACCAACCCTTATAAGAGATACATCAATTTTGTACTAACAAAACCTATGAGGACACAACCTTTCATTCATATATTTTTAAGAATATATGATCTGGAAGATTATAACTTTACTGATTCAAGAATAGGTAAGTTCTTCAAAAGTTCTATTTGGTATCTGAACAGTTATGGCCAGTAGGTGCTTTGGCCAATATATATTAAAAAATCACTGATATTAAATACTTCAAAAAACATTTCCAAGATTTTTGTCATCTCTCATTGCATTTGTGCTACACGCAAACACCCTGCAGCTGACACACTCATATGTCACAACACACAGCTTGGAAAGCTCTAACTGAGGGCCCTTCCACACAGCCCTATATCCCAGAATATCAAGGGTGATAATCACTGAGTGTGAACTCAGATGACCCAGTTCAAAGCAGATATTGTGGGGTTTCTGCCTTGATATTCTGGGGCCTTTCCACATATATATATGTGGAAAGGCCCCTAAAGATTTCTAGAAAAGTGTTCTCCCAAGATAAAACAAAATAACATTTTTAATTAGCTTTTTTCACTTTTCGGGAAGGTCCTATGTCCCTAATCCCAGTGACTATGAAGCACTGACTGTATATCCAAGGCATGTATATGCATTGAGACATGAGTAAAGCTCGGCCAGTTTGTTATAAGCTAGTTATGCAGCTTCTAGTCAACACAAACAGGTTGTCTCTTCAAATTATTTCACCATCAGTTTTAGGGAAAGACTTTATGACTATTATGAGAGAATCTCTTCTTGTACTCCCYGACTTYGTATTTACAATACCATAACAATATCATTACCAAATTCATGGATGACACAACAGTGGTGGGGCTTATCTACCCTAKAAACCTTTAAAAAGAACCTTAAAACCTGGCTCTTCTGCTGCGCCTTTGGTGAATAGGTGCACAATATGACACTACTGCTCCTCTCAACGCTTCTGTCACTGGAGTATATGCCCCCCCCCCCCAAATGGGAACGTTTGGTTCCACAACCCTGTGATTTCTATGAGCTCCCTCTTGCAAATAACTTGCTCCTCTTCTTATCTCATTCAAGTTTTTTAACATTTTATCCTGCGCATGTGGCCCAACAACTGTCACTGTGATTGTGTTTATTGTAATGTTATATTCTTAAGGTATTCCTATAACACACTCCTGCCAGTTGATACTCACACACTGCTGAAATGAATAAGCAGATGCTCAGAAGATGAAAATGTATGTCTCGCACACACATCGAGGCTAGTGTACCGCATAACAATTAGTCTGAAATAATTGTAACTTTTTTTTCTTCCTATCTTATATATATTAACGTTGTTTAGAATGCCTACTGCCGTCGCAAGCATTTATTCTGAAAGGGGAAATACTTTGCTCTTGGTTAAATAATCCAATTTTGAATACGACAAGGTGGTTAAATGGTCATGAATGGAGGGAGCAATGGATATTGACACTGAAGCATGCGTCCTGCCTGAAAGATCCCCCATTCGACACTATGTGAGGAATATTGTGAGCATTTCACCATCTCTCTTCCGACAGGGAATGAATTGTTCAGCAATACAGCCCATTGCACATATTTCTTCACTCCTTTACCTCCGTTACTTCCAAAAAGGCTGCCGGTTGCCATGGCACCTAGTCTTTTCGATTTATATATATATATTTCAGATCCAGGAGGGATGTTTCAGGCAGTTTACAGACAACATTGCTCCCCTGGCTTGTAAAAAACGAAACAAAAACCCGAGGCCATTTGATACTGGAGAAATCAAGTCTCACAAGGAGGGTCTTTTTTTACCATCTGGTTTCCTGCGCTTCTATGGGCAACTGGGATGCAGGGTTCTGGTTGCCGTGGCAACCGCATGCTGCAGAGAGAGGAGGGGGGGTGTTTGGAGAGGCATTGCTCACCAATGGTGAAGCACCACTGACACCTGCAGGCAGAAGGGGGAATTGCAAGCCCCACTCTCCATCAGTAGGGAAGTGCAATCAAGTGCAATCAAGTGGAACACATCTCACCACACTAAAACAGTGGATGTGGCTCTTAATGAGACATGCCGCATTATCACGGGGTGTCTGCGCTCTACACCACTGGAGAAATTTTTGTCATTTGGGAATTGTAGTTGCTGGGATTTATAGTTAACCTACAATCAAAGAGCATTCAGAACTCCACCAATGATGGAATTGAACCAAATGTGGCACACAAAACTCCCATGACCAACAGAAAACACTAAGGAATCCCACTGGAGCATTGCAGCACATGAACATACTTGGGAATTGCCCTGGACCATTCTCTGACTTATAAGAAGCACTGCTTGACTATCAAGCAAAAAGTGGGTGCTAGGAACAACATTACAAAAGATGACTGGCACAACCTGAGGATCACAACCAGCCATAGTGAAGACATCTGCCCTTGCGCTTGCTACTCTGCTGCTGAGTATGCATGCCCAGTGTGGAACACATCTCACCACACTAAAACAGTGGATGTGGCTCTTAATGAGACATGCCGCATTATCACGGGGTGTCTGCGCTCTACACCACTGGAGAAATTACACTGCTTAGCCGGTATTGCACCACCTGACATCCACCGGGAAGTAGCAGCCAATAGTGAAAGGACCAAGGCAGAGACATCTCCAGCTCATCCCTTGTTTGGGTATCAGCCAGCACATCAATGACTTAAATCTAGAAATAGTTTTCTAAGATCTACAGAGACACTCGCTGGAACACCTCAGCAAGCGAGAGTCCAAAAGTGGCAGGCTCAAACCTAGAACCTCACAATGGCTGATACCAAATGAGAGACTCCCCCCTGGGCACACAGAGGACTGGGCGACTTGGAAGGCGCTGAACAGACTGCGCTTTGGCACCACGAGATGCAGAGCCAACCTTCAGAAATGGGGCTACAAAGTGGAATCCTCGACATGCGAGTGTGGAGAGGAGCAAACCACTGACCACCTGCTGCAATGCAACCTGAGCCCTGCCACATGCACAATGGAGGACCTTCTTGCAGCAACACCAGAAGCACTCCAAGTGGCCAGATACTGGTCAAAGGACATTTAATCAACTACCAAACTCATAAATTTTGTATTTTGTCTGTTTGTTTGCTTTGTTCTGTTAGAAATGTAATATAATTTGTCTGGTTGTCCTGACACGACAAATAAATAATCAATTGCAATTGGATCATCATCATCAAGCTTGCAATTCCCCCTTTGAGGTTGCCATGCCCATCCCATAATGAATGTGCTTTGTAACATCTGGGCTCTACTTAGCAGGCGCGTCCGGTTTGAGCTGGCTCCTACGGTCCAGCTTGCTCATAACCTGGGTGATGTCCACATTGGCCGCCGCTTCCTTCGCCTTGGCTTCTTCCTCCTGTTGCCTCAAGATGATGGGGCTGGGGCTGGAGCGGAGGTTTTTGGGGAAAAATGGGTTGCCGGAGCTGAAAAGAAACAGGAAGGCAAGAGAGAGGAGGGAAAAAAACACAGAGGGTTACTGTGCTTGACAGTGAAAGCAGGCAAATAGATCTGGAGGTGGCTGGAGAGGCAGCCGGCAGCGTAGGCGCTTTGAGAACCACTTCCAACCTGCTGTGCGCTGATGGATTAATCGCTGCCTGTTTACAAAACCAATTACCCTGGAATAACATTCTCTAAACCCATTGATTTGTTTACACAGGCAAGAGGAATCAAAGAGTGGGATCAAATTGAGAGCGAGGCAGCAACTGCTCGTAAATTCAGGTTTACCATCTCATCTCTCTTTTATCCTAAAGGAACCTGTTTGTAAAGTGGTGTTTGCACATCAGTATTTGTTGCTTACCACAGGGTTGCCATGTTAGCCTCCTGTCTCAAAAACAGCTCAGAGACCACTTTCATCTTAGAGACGAAAAAGTTCTGGGATTTGTAGTTTGTATTAGAGAGAGGGTTGTCTAAGGGTGCATCTACACTGTTGGATAAAGGTGGTTTGACACCACTTTAATAACAACAACAACAACAATAACATTGGAACTTGTGCCACAAATACTATCTGCCTGCAACAAAGAACTGGTGGGATCACAAGCTGGAAAAAATTACAGAGAATGTAACTCCTCTGGAACTTCCGAATTCAGACAGACAGAGTTCTGGAGTACAACACTCCTGACCTCACAATCGTGTTAAAAACTTCAGCTCTCACAATTCCTAACAGCTGTTAAAGCTGGCTGGGATTTCTGGGAGTTGAAGTCCAAAACACCTGGAGGACCAAAGATTGGGAACCACTGGTGTAGATGCACCATTTGACTAAATTTTTAATTCCCCCATTTTTTTTCATGTCAGTAGTGACTTGAGAAACTGCAAGTCACTTCTGACTCACAAAGACTGACTATATTGTTATTGATTAAAAATACTGCCTCATTCCATAGCACAATCCTATGACTGCCTACTCAGAAGTGAGTAGAGAGATGGATGAGTGATTAACCTTTCTCTGTGTGTGTGTGTGTATATATACACACACACAGAGAGAGAGAGAAAGGTTAATCAATCATCCATCTCTCTGTAAGAATCTCAATCATATCTAATTAACACAGAACTAAATAACCTGGAATTAAGGTGGTCACAGATAATAGTTTAAAGGCTTCTTCAACTGTCTGCTACAGAATTGGCCTTTTTTTCCCCCTGTCACAGACATTTAAGTGTAATGAGACAAGCGGACAAATGTCAGCATGCTGGAAGAAGCAAAGACCACCAGCATTGAAGCGATGGTCCTCTGCCATCAACTCAGCTGGACTGGCCATGTTGTCTGGATGCAGTTGCTCTACTCCGGACTCAAGAACAGAAAATGGAATGTTGGTGGACAGGAAAAGAGATTTACAGATGGGCTCAAAGCCAACCTTAAAAACTCTGGCATAGACACTGAGGACTGGGAAGCCCTGGCCCTTGAGCTCTCCAGTTGGAAGTCAGCTGTGACCAGCAGTGCTGCAGAATTTGAAGAGGCACGAATGGAGGGCGAAAGAGAGAAATGTGCCAAGAGGAAGGCGCATCAAGCCAACCCTGACCGGGACCGCCTTCCACCTGGAAACCGATGCCCTCACTGTGGAAGAAGATGCAGATAGGACTCCACAGTCACCTACGGACCCACCGCCAGAACACCGAACTTGGAGGACCATCATCCTCGGACTACGAGGGATCGCCTAAGTAAAGTAAGTATACCAGATACTCAACAGTTAGGGACTTATATAGAGGAAACCCTAAACTGCCCATAGTTTCCAATATTTCCCATTTACGTGTTTAAGCATAGCTACCATTCATGCTTTGTGTGCTTAGTGGAAGGAACACAGATTTTGGCACAGCAAACCCAACTGACACATAAAATATGAACCAGCCTGAAAAATAGCTGGATAAAAGCACTCAAGCTTGTAGAGTATTTCAAACACAGACTTAATCCGATTTCTCCAAAATCTGGCTTTGATTAAACTGTGGCAGTTTTCTGTCTAGACAAATCTTACACAGATTTACTTTGAACTCTCCTTAGCTCAGACAGATCCAAGACTCGTGTTCCCAAGAGGGATCCAAATGTTATCAATAGCTGATGAGAACCATCTCTAGTCCAGCCAAATATTCAGATGGGCTTTTTAACCTATAAAGTCATCTTGATTGACATTGACTATTTAATCGCTGTGATCAAGGTGACAGTACTTCCCTCCATTGGCGTGTCTACACAGTCAGCAACAGATCTGTGCCTTTAGAACAAATAGGGTAAACTGTCAGAGTTGAAAAAGTTCATATGGGAAATAGGGTGTGGACTGCCGTTTCAAATCTCATCCCCTGAACTAACATCATTATTTCCTAGTGTGCCTCTAGAATTCACGTACACCACTTTAACTGCCATGGCTCAATGCTGTGGAATCCTGGGAGTTGTAGTTTTTCAAGGTCTTTATCCTTCTCTGCCAAAGAGTGCTAGTGCCTCACCAAACTACAACTCCCATGATCCCATCACATTGACCCATGGCAGTTCAAGTGGCAACAAACTGCATTAATTCTACAGTGTAGATGCACCCTTAACTAACCCTACAAATGCAGAGCCAGTGTGATGCAGTGGTTTGAGTAATGAACTCTGGAGACGTGGTTTCAATTCTCCACTCATCCCCCAACTCTGGCAGTCTTTAGGAGGAGCCTGAAAACGTGGCTGTTCCAGTGTGCCTTCCCAGAATAAGGAAAATTCCCAGCAATATGTCCTCAGAATGCACTTTACTACTGGTTTAGGATAGACTGCACTTCCTCATCTCTCTTTTAAAACCCTCTACCAGATATATCCTACCTTGTTCATTCCCAGCGGGTTTTTTTTTAAATTTTTAAAGTATTACATTTGACCCGGCCATAGGTTTTTAAATCCTTGTGTGTTACTGTTTATTGGTTATTGTTTATATGTGATTTATATTAATTGTATTGTATTTATTGTTTTTGTTTATTGCTTTTTGTTTTATTGATGTGTTGTTGTGCTTGGCCTCATGTAAGCCGCTCCGAGTCCCTTGGGGAGATGGTGGCGGGGTATAAAAAAAGTATTATTATTATTATTATTATTATTATTATTATTATTATTATAGAAACCCATTGGGTGATTGTAGAAAGGTCACACACTCTCACCCCAAAAAACCCTTTACCAGGCCAATTTAGATTTGATGCAGATGACCAAGACGGTTTTAAACTATATTTTAATATTGCGATAAATGTTTTTAATGTTTATATATGCATATATGAATTCTTGTCTAGGCATTGAATGTTTGCCATATATATGCTGTGCTCCGCCCTGAGTCCCCTTTGGGATTATAAGGGTGGAATATAAATGTTTTAATTAAATAAATAATCTTAGGATGACAATAACACTTTGAAGTTTGAAATGTGTTATTTCCTGTTTAATAGTGTGGTACTTAGTTTGAAAATATTTGTTATACACCAGAAACTTTGTTTTATGGCTGCCACAAACTAAGTTGAATTGATTGAGACACGATGAGATATTCATAGCAATATATGCTGCAGGATGTCCCGCAAAAACAAAGTTTTTGTAGTTTAATAAACGTTTCCCATGATTTTTTATGATAGAACCAATTAGGAAATGACATTTAAAATCTAGGGCCTCTTCCACACAGCCCTATATCCCAGAATATCAAGGCGGAAAATCCCACATTAGCTGAATGTGGGTTCAAATAACCCAGTTCAAAGCAGATATTGTGGGATTTTCTGCCTTGATATTCTGGGATATAGGGCTGTGTGGAAAGGCCCCCAGGAACAAAAATCATGTTTCTCACAGCCATATAACCCAGAATATCAAGTCTGAAAATCCCACAGTATGTGCTTTGAATTGGATTATGTCAGGGTCCTTCCACACAGCCCTAAATTCCAGAATATCAAGGCAAAAAATCCCACAATATCTGCTTTGAACTGGGTTATCTGAGTCCATACTGCCATATATTCCAGTTCAAAGCAGAAAATGTGGGATTATTCAGCTGTGTTGAAGGGGCCATATTTGGAAAAAATGTGAAGGCAAACAACAATATCACCTTTGGTGTGTAAGGCTCTTGAGAAAATACTCGCAACACTCATTGGGGGAAACCTTGCTGTCCTGACTGCTTTGTTCATGGTGTTGTCCACTTCTTTAGGGTTGCACTCAAATAAGATGTGCTGTAAGAGTGCGCAGAAATACCATGCAATTTATTACACTGAACAACACACATTTTGGTGCTTCAAATGTTAGCCTGATTTTTGGGTATATCTGGCTGCTGATTCCAAAAAATGGCACCTTTTCCCAATGATCAGTTCGAGTTCTTGAATTGCTGAAATATGGCATCTACCAGTCATCATCTGATGGCCCATGGGAAACCACAATAACCATATGTAAGAAACTATCCAACGCAATTTTTGAATCAGCGCCTTACTTGGCAAGGTACTTTTTCTGCTCAAAATCCATAAGTTGTTCACTCGTTTCCTGACATTTGGGGAAAACCAGTTGGTAGAAATAAGATAGGAATGTGTTCTTGGTACAAGACTGATACGAGGGATCCTCTCACTTCTGCAGCAGTCTACCGTGTACCATGCAGCTGTGGACAAGTCTACATAGGGACCACCAAACGCAGCATTGCCCAAACACGAATCAAGGAACATGAATGGCACCGCAGACTACTTCAGCCAGAGAAGTCAGCCATAGCCGAGCACCTGATGAACCAACCTAGACACAGCATTTTATTTGAGAACACAGAAATGCTGGACCACTCTCACAACCACCATGTCAGACTACACAGAGAAGCCACTGAACTCCACAAGCGTGTGGACAATTTCAACAGAAAGGAGGAAACCATGAAAATGAACAAAATCTGGCTACCAGTATTAAAAAACTTTAAAATTACAACAGCACAACAACAAAGAGGAAACAAACAAGGATATCTAATCACCTCTCAAACTAAATAAAAGTTTGCTCCAGGCACTGTCAGGCCATTATATGCTAATCAAGGTGGTCAGTTGAAACATTCACACCTAGCTCCAGAAGACAAGAGTCCTTTGTCCCACCCTGGTCATTCCACAGAAATATAAACCCTTTTTCCTAGTTCCAACAGACCTCACTACCTCTGAAGATGCTTGCCATAGATGCAGGTGAAACATCAGGAGAGAATGCCTCGGCCATATAGCCCGAAAAAACCTACAACAACACAAGACTGATATTTTTTTAACACAAAATGCAACAATCTTCCACAAAAAGCATGTAACTATTTGTGCAAGTAGTGCTTTATTCACCAAAAATAAAAAGCACTACAGTTGTTGTTCATTTGTTCATCGTTTCCGACTCTTCGTGACCTCATGGACCAGCCCATGCCGGAGCTCCCTGTCGGTCGTCACCACCCACAGCTCCTTCAAGGTCAATCCAGTCACTTCAAGGATGCCATCCATCCATCTTGCCCTTGGTCGGCACCTCTTCCTTTTTCCTTCAATTTTCCCCAGCATCATTGTCTCTCTAAGCTTTCCTGTCTCCTCATGATGTGGCCAAAGTACTTCAACTTTATCTCTAACTACAGTACAGTCTCACTTATCCAACATAAACGGGCCGACAGAACGTTGGATAAGCAAAAATGTTGGATAATAAGGAGGAATTAAGGAAAAGCCTATTAAACATCAAATTACGTTATGATTTTACAAATTAAGCACCAAAACATCATGTTTTACGACAAATTGACAGAAAAAGCAGTTCAATACATGGTAATGTTATATAGCAATTACTGTGTTTACGAATTTAGCACCAAAACATTGCAATGTTTCGAAACAGCTGTGGATACGGGAGGAGGCAGACTGCATTGGATAATACAGAATGTTGGATGAGTGAAAGTTGGATAAGTGAGTCTCTACTTATTTACAAATAATTTTCTGAAACATTTGGGGATGTATGAATGCCAGTTGAGCATCACAGAGAAAAAGCCAGTTATTCCTCTTTATCTGTGAGAGTAAAACAGTCATATATATACCCCTAAGCCAGACTCCCCCCCAAATGAAAGATGCACTTTGAATTATACAAACATCTAAATTGCATGCAATTCTACTTACTACAGCCTTGCTTTTCATTATTTGCGCCATCATTAAAGCAACACCAAATAACCCATAATTAAATCCCCATTGACTTGCCTTCTTGGAGCTGCTTCTTGTGGTACAACTGCCTTGGACAACATTTCTTTGTATATGGGAGACTTTAAATAGCGACCATACGAATCCTACTGGGGAGAAGAAAAGGAAACTGGTAGTTATAGACTACAAGCATCCTAATTAAAATCATCTGTTCTTACAGTTGTTTAGGAGTCAAAGAGACTGGGACAGAGGGAAGAATAGAGTCTCACCCAGTAATACAAGAGAACATCTCTTTTTCACATTAAATATGTATGCATTATAGAAACCTGTGGCTTAATGAATGCTCATGTGGTTACAATTCACAACAATGCTGAGGCCAATTAAGTCATTTTCTCAGATGCCAAAGCATCCAATAAGTGCTGGGAAAATTCTGGTTCTAAAAAGGCTAAGTTTCCCAGTAGCTGTTCGCCTCTATTTTCCAAGTACAGGCTTTAATAAGACAGGCCTAAATCAAGTTGTCAATTGCAATTACTATAGAATTGCTTAATGAATGGTTAACATGGCAATCAATGGCTAACATGGTTTCAAATAAGAAGCTGTAATTGTCATCTGAAATGTCCTGTGGCCTGAATATTAAAGGTCTGTGGCTTGATATGGGAGCAGAAGCTATTTGCTATGTAAATATATTTGCAGGGCACCTCCTATTATACTGTAGATGGAATTGCATTGATCAACTAAAGTTAGAATTATAGGATTGAAAGAGGCCTTAAGGGCCATCCAACACCATTCTTCCATGCAGAAAGATATAATCAAAACACCCTCAACAGATGCCCATCCAGCCTCTGCTTAAAAACCTCTGCCACACTGGGGCAATGAATCAAGGCTGGGACTTTTATTCGTAGAAAGTTAAATACCAATTTTGGGGCGGAAAAGGGAGTAAGACTATTATGTATTGGCTATTATTATGCAGGAGCCCCGGTGGCACAGTGGGTTAAAGCGCTGAACTGCTGAGCTTGTTGATCGAAAGGTCGCAGGTTTGATTCTGGGGAGCGGCGTGAGCTTCCGCTGTCAGCCCTAGCTTCTGCCAACTTAGCAGTTCAAAAACATTCAAATGTGAGTAGATCAATAGGTACCACTCCAGCGGGAAGGTAGCGGCGTTCCATGCAGTCATGCCGGCCACATGACCTTGGAGGGGTCTACGGACAACGCCGGCTCTTCGGCTTAGAAATGGAGATGAGCACCACACCCCAGAGCCAGACACGACCGGACTTAATGTCAGGGGACAACCTTAACCTTACTATTATGCAATGAAATACAAGTTTGTATTTCAAACAAGTTTGGCTAGGAAGTATAGCGAATAGCTGGAAAAGACAGTGTGGATTTATAAGCAAAATGACAAACCTTTTTCATAAGCATATAAATATGAGTCTGTGCGGCATCTAAGACATAGCGATGAGGGTGTTTGAGGCCTCTGACTGTGATGCCCATAGTAGTACCATCAATATTGATCCAGCGCCTTGCTCCTGGGGCCAGGAAGGTTCTGCAATTGAAAAATAATAAAGAGGAGGCTCTATGGTAATCCAAAATTGGGGTTGATTCTTCACGTACTGAGGCAAATCAATACATTCTTCCTCACCATTACATTTTTAGATGAACTTGAGGATCCCTTCTACCTAAAAGCTCTTCTCTGCCTCTATTGTGTCAAGTCCTATCTAATCTGTCAGTGTTGTTTCAAAAAGGTTAAAGGGCAATTACATTCTAGGGTGTATCTACACTATAAAAGTAAAACTTTAAAGGCCATAGCTCAATGGTATTGAATCCTGAGATTTGTAGTTTGGTGATCTACCAGCACTCTTTGACAGAAAAGGCAAAATACCTTGTAAAACTACAGCTTATATCATTCCATAGCACAGATCTGTGGCAGTTAAGGAGGTGTGAAATTGCATTAAGTCTACCATGTAAATGCCTCGCTAGACTCCATGAGAGTGAAGGAGAATCTCTTGGAAACCAATTAGTAGTTTTAAAGATGCAAGTTGAGGTTTTCCAGGTTCCTCTTCTGCAACAAGGACTGAGGCTACTGCTCATTTATTAGCCTGTGTACATTGTGGAAGATAGAAGCAACCAGGAAAAGGCTGATTGATAGATGTTGTTGTTGTTACTGTTCATTCGTTCAGTCATTTCCGACTCTTCGTGACCTCATGGACCAGCCCACGTCAGAGATCCCTGTCGGCTGTCACCACCCCCAGCTCCTTCAAGGTCGATCCAGTCACTTCAAGGATACCATCCATCCATCTTGCCCTTGGTCGGCCCCTCTTCCTTTTCCCTTCCATTTTCCCCAGCATCGTTACCTTCTCCAAGCTTTCTTGTCTTCTCATGATGTGACCAAAGTACTCCATATTTGCCTCTACTATCTTTCCCTCCAATGAGCAGCTGGGCTTTATTTCTTGAAGTATGGACTGGTTGGATCTTCTCGCTGTCCAAGGCACTCTGAGCACTTTCCTCCAATACCACTGTTCAAAAGCCTCTATCTTCCATCTCTCAGCCTTCTTTAAGGTCCAGCTCTCACATCCGTAGGTGACTATGGGGAATACCATTGCTTTAACTATGCGGATCTTCGTTGCCAGTGTGATGTCTCTACTCTTCACTATTTTATCGAGATTAGTCATTGCTCTCCTCCCAAGAAGTAAGCGTCTTCTGATTTCCTGGCTGCATTCTGTGTCTGCAGTAATCTCTGCATCTAGAAATACAAAGTCTGTCACTGCCTTCATGTTTTCTCCCTCTATTTGCCAGTTATCAATCAGTCTGGTTGCCATAATCTTGGTTTGTTTGATGTTTAACTGCAACCCAGGTTTTGTACTTTCTTCTTTCACCTTGGTTAGAAGGCTCCTCAGCTCCTTTTTGCTTCTGGTCATCAAAGTGGTATCATCTGCATATCTAAGGTTGTTGACGTTTCTTCCAGCAATTTTTACCCCAGCCTTGGATTTGTCAAGCCCCGCACATTGCATGATGTGTTCTGCTTACGAGTTGAATAGGTTGAGTTAAAGTATACAACCCTGCCATACGCCTTTCCCAATCTTGAACCAGTCTGTTGTTCCATGGTAGATGGTAGAAGTTGTAAATAATTTTTAGAAGGACAGTGTTCCAACATTTCCAGAAAAAAGTTTTGTATAGGCCTTGTGCTAACAAAAAACACAAATGTGAGACTAGACGGCTCCATATTGATAGGACAGTGAATTTGCATGGTTTTAGTCCAACACTATTCAAGAGGATAAAACAGATCCTCAAAAACAGGTTCAGTGTCTTGGATGGCTCTTTTAGTATTTGGCACAGCTTCTACATGCCACTGACTTCCCTGTTGAAATACTATTTGGCAATCCTTTAAACATCTTTTGGCATTTTTAAAAGAATTTTATTGGTGGGAGGGGTTTGTTGTGCTTTCAGTGATTTTGCCATTGTAAAATTCATTTAAGGCCTTAGTGGGACATTGAAATACAAATACTGATATTATATAATGGGCTAATAATCTATTAGCATTATAATATCAACTACATTTCAACTGATTTCAGAAGTTAGGTGAGAGTTAGGTAGTATTTGCATAGCAAGTTATCAGGGAATATTAGGGCTCTTCCGATAGTGCTATGAAAGAATCTGGGAAACTCTGGAGATCCACTGCTGCAAGTCAAGGTAGAAAGCATTGTTATGCTTAAGTATAAGACAGCTTCCTATGTTTGCATATGCAATGTTCTTCAGCATTAATATTACCGTGGACACAATTTACTGACAAAAAGTATTAGATCTCTTCTGTGGCTTTGACTGACATTTCAATCAGGCGTGACTCTGTAGTTAACTAAGCCTTACAGGGCTGAGGGAAAACTGCTAGAATTAATTCAAAGAAAATTTCAAACACTACTGAATACCATGACACTCTTTTCCATGTAAGTGTGCTACTGATTACTTTCTTAGAATCATTCACACGAGTCTTCACTTTGCCATGACTTCTGCAAATATTTTGTGGCAGAGATATATATGAAATACATGAACCTTGCATCCAAATTGCATAGATCATTAGTGCTTTAAAAGCATCCCCAAGTAAAGTTTTACTCTGCCACTCATACTTTTTAATACAGGCAGCATTAAACAGATGGTTTGTAAAAGACGAGAGGAAGAATTTTCTAGCTCTATACTATGGCAGTATAGTCAAGAATTTGAGTGTTGGACCATGCCTCTTGAGACCAAGGTCTGAATCTTTGCTCGGCCAAAAAAAAACCCCACTAAACAGCCTTAGACAAGTCACATACTATCAGCCTTAGGAAACCCTCTAATACAGGGATCCTCAAACTTTTTAAACAGAGGGCCAGGTCACAGTTCTTCAAACTGTTGGAGGGCCAGATTATAATTTGGAAAAAAAATGAATTAATTCCTATGCACACTGCACATATCTTATTTGTAGTGCAAAAACACTTTAAAACAATACAATAATTAAAATGAAGAACAGTTTTAACAAATATAAACTTATTAGTATTTCAATGGAAAGTGTGGGCCTGCTTTTGGCTGAAGAGATAGGATTGTTGTTGTGTGTACTTTCAAGCCTTTTCAGACTTAAGTTGACCCTGAGCGAGGGCCGGGTAAATGACCTTGGAGGGCCGTATCCAGTCCCCGGGCCTTAGTTTGAGGACCCCCCTCAGGCCTCTTCATGGAAGGGGCCTGAGGTCCCTTCCATGAAGCTGAATAAAATACCACATTATCTGCTTTGACCTGGAATATATGGCAGTGTGGACTCAGATAACCCAGTTCAAAAAAAAAATGTGGGATTGTCTGTCTTGATATTCTGGGTTATATCGTTGCATGGAAGAGCCCTAAAAGTTGTCATTAGTCAGAAATAACTCCGAAGGAACATGGAAACAACAAATACTATACTCACTTGTAAATTTCTTCTGCTTTCTCTTTCACTTTAGATTGGTCCCCATACTTCAGATCCTCACAAGCTTCCCAGAAACCCAAATTCTCCCCTGAATTAAAAAGGAAAGAAAAATAATAACACATTATAAGAGATCTTATAAATAAATACACAAAACAGAATTACTATCACTGTCAGTTGATCGAACGCAAAGGAAGACCTTGTTTAGTTTTCCAGGAGAGGGAAGATGAGTAGATGGAGATGCATCTTTTTGCACCATGTCATCTATGATCAGGTTACCAAATGATCTATACATAAAAAGTATGCATATACGTGTGTGCATATTGTACCCCAAAAGACTCCTATGTGGCTTGATGGATCAGGACCAAAATTGGCAAAATTTCCCTTTACACAACTTGCAAGGTTTCAACTACAAAATCCACCCTTAAGGTTTCAACTACTTTTTAGGAATAAGGGACCAAAAAGATAAATAGATAGACAGGTAGATAGATAGATAAATAGACAGACAGACACATATACATATACACACTGCTCAGATGCAACCAGAAGAGGGTATTATCTAATATGAGGTGAAAAACACAGCTCTGAAGCCATAGTTGGGACATTCACTCCATAAGGAAATGGCAATTTAATTGCACCAGAAGTGACTTGCAGTTTCTGAAGTCACTCCTGACACGACAAAAAAATAAATAAAATAGGCAATTTAATGAAGATTTATATTTTGGAAGGCGTGTGTGTGCCAGCACTTTGCTCTGAGACTAAGAGACTTCCAAGAAAAGGCAGGTTGGAAAAAAACAAAGGAAAAAAGGAAAGTTATGAGTGGAGGAGAGACAGAGAAAGAATGGCAGACAAAGGAGAGGGAAAGAGAAAGGCAAGAAAGAAAAGGGAGGGAAGAGGAGGGAAGGAAGGGAGGAAGGAAGGAAGGGGAAAAAGAAAGAAGAAAGAAAGAAGAAAAGTAAGAAAAGGAAGAAGACTTATGAAGGCAAGCAAGAAAAGAAAGGAAGATAGGAGAATGGGACAAGGTGCAATAGGAAAAGGGAGGAAGGAAACTGAGCTACATAGAAGATGCAAACCCATACAACACTGAGTATATATGTTAGTGAAGAATAATTGAGAGATCACATTTACTGCTGACAAGTCACCAATCATTATGACATTTGTCACTTTAAATATCCTATACGTTCTGCACAGTTGTGAGGGGAACCGTTCCTCAATTAAATCAGTTCAACATAGAAGACTTAAATCAAGAAATAGTTTTCTAAGATCTACAGAGACACTCGCTGGAACACCTCAGCAAGAAAGAGTCCAAAAGTGGCAGGCTCAAACCTAGAGCCTCAATCAATGGCTGATACCAAATAAGAGACTCCCCCCTGGGCACACAGAAAACTGGGTGACTTGGAAGGTGCTGAACAGACTGTGCTCTGGCATCACGAGATGCAGAGCCAACCTTAAGAAATGGGGCTTCAAAGTGGAATCCACGAAATGCGAGTGTGGAGAAGAGCAAACTAAAGACCACCTGCTGCAATGCAACCTGAGCCCTGCTACATGCACAATGGAGGACCTTCTTGTGGCAACACCAGAGGCACTCCAAGTGGCCAGCTACTGGTCAAAAGACATTTAATCAACTACCAAGCTTGCAAACTTTGTGTTTTGTTTGTTAGTTAGTTTGTTAAAAATGCAATAAAACTGTTTGGTTTGCTCCTGACACGATAAATAAATAAACAAACATACAAGACCTTTCTTGTGGCCAGGCACCATCTTGGCAATGTCTGTAGAGGGTCTTTCTCCTCTCCACCATCTTCCTCCCTAGCAGACCTTCTCTGCAGGACAGCTCCAGCTGCAATGGCAGCAGTGGCCCTGATCCAGCTACGAATACATCACTAACATACACACGACTGAGGCTAGCTGCTTGGAAGGCTTCTCCCACCCTGCTTTAACCTGGCATGACTCTTTTGCTCTCCTCCTAGTTCTGCTACCTGACCACTCACTCCTCCTCCATTCTGGATTTTGTAAGAAAGCCCAGACAATTTAAAAACCTTCTCAGGCAGGAATTTTAGCTCTGAAAAAGAGAACATATCCTACAAAAGGAGGACAGATGGTAACCCTAAGCTATGATGTGCTGCTCTTTCTAGAATTTCCTTTTTGCACAAATATTAAAATATGAGAACCCTTTAATCTAGCCCCTTTATTTCATGCCCTACTTTTTAAAACATCCAGATAGACATAGAATGTAGGGGCTTTGTGTTTCTAAGCCCTTTTGATAAGGCACAAAGGAGTCTTTGTGGTTACAAATGTTATGTAGGCTTCTTCCCTACCAAGGCTATCTGTAAAAGCTATAATTGACAGAGTTATTCCCTTTATGTGAATGCGGTGTTACCTCTGATCACCTCACCCATTGCAAATGCTTTTCCACAAATTAAATTCATCTCAACTAGCCATATCTGATGGCAATGTCCTCTAGCACTAAAAAATCAATACTGAGAGAAAGAAAAGAAGGGCAACATTTCGCACTCACCACTGAACTCTTTCTTCAGGAACAGCTGGAAGTTCTGGCGGCCTTTGGGATCCCGCATCAGCTCACTAAAATTGAGGGCCCATCTCTCCACTCGGGCTTTGGTGGGGACTTCCACCCTGCAAAAGTTTAATTACAAAGACATGATTTGAAATCAGTTCCTGTGAGACTAAGCTCTTCATCTATTATCATGATTTAAGCCTGTTATATTTATCACAAGTTAGCTGCAAAGATATATTTTCCCGTTGTTTTCCAAATCATAATGAACTCCTAAGGCAAGGCCACTGAAATAATTAGGTTTTGTTGCATAAGACAGGATTGTTGTATTAAAAGATTCTGCTTTGAATTGTATCAGAGTTGCTTCATTAGCTGGTATTCTTGAATGTCATTGTCAGAGAATGCATGTATAGGCTACAATGCTCGCTACGGAGCTTGGAAATAGTGTGTTACAAGTAGCACCTGTATTGAAAAAAGACAAATAAATGGGGTCTAGAGCACATTAAGTCTGAACTATCCCTAGAAGACAAGATGACTAAACAGAAACTATTGTATTTTTGGACATCTGTAACAAAATGATTCACTAAAAAACAAAAAATAATAATGCTTGGGAAGCAGTGGGAAAATGTATCTATCTATCTATCTATCTATCTATCTATCTTTCTATCTATTTATTTGCTCCATTTATATACCGCTTTTCTCAGCCGTCGGGCGAATCAAAGCGGTTTACAGTAGCAAAATTTAATGCTTGAACATCATAAAACAGATTAAAACAATTAAAAGCCATAGCATCAATATACAAACATTACAAAGTCAATACTACATAACTCATGGCATCCCTTGGTTAAAATCAAGATCCAATCTCGTCATCCAGTCGTTTCATGTTCCAATATTTGTTACACTGCCTTTTCGAATGCCTGCTCGAACAACCAGGTCTTAACCTTCCTACAAAATGCTAACTAAGAAGGGGTCGATCTAATATCTCTGGGAAGGGTATTCCATAGCCAAGGGGCCACCACTGAGAAGGCCCTGTCTCTTGTCCCCGCCAAACGTATTTGTGACGCAGGTGGGATCAAGAGCAGGGCCTCCCCAGATGATCTTAATGTCCTAGCTGGTTCATAGGAGGAGATACGCTTGGACAGGTAAGTTGGGCCAGAACTGTTTAGGGCTTTATAGGCTAGAGCCAGCACTTTGAATTATTATTATTATTATTATTATTATTATTATTATTATTATCATTATCATTATTTGTACCCCACTAGCATCTCCCGAAGGACTCGATGCGGCTTACAAAGGCCAAGGCCTCAAAACACAACATAACAATACAACACCTAAAGCAAATTAAAAACAATTAAAGCAATATGGGTACAAGGATTAAAAGTGCTGATGTGACAGGTGATATGTAAGGATTATAGGGTAAGTGCAGTGTGCGATGTGCAGCAATCTTAGTTCTAATAAAGTGCTTCTGGGACTTGTTATTGGAGATTCCTATTCTGGGAAGGCACATCGGAACAGCCAGGTCTTCAAGTTCTTTCTAAAGACGGCCAATGTAGGGGCTTGTCTAAGATCTTTGGGGAGGGTGTTCCAGAGTCGGGGAGCCACCACAGAAAAGCCCCTGTCTCGTGTCCCCATGAAGAGCGCCTGCAATGCTGGTGGAATCACGAGCAGGGCCTGTGCCCGTTAGCAAACTGACAGCCAGTGGAGCTGGCGCAACAGAGGAGTTGTATGCTCCTGTCTAAGATCTTTTGGGAGGGTGTTCCAGAATCGGGGGGCCACTACAGAAAAGGCCCTGTCTCGCATCCCCATCAAACGCGCCTGCAACGCTGGTGGAATCACGAGCAGGAATTGTGTCCATTAGCAAACTGACAGCCAGTGGAGCTGGCACAACAGAGGAGTTGTATGCTCATTGAGTGCCACTCCTGTTAGTAACCTGACTGCCGTCCATTGCACCATTTGAAGCTTCCGAACAGCCTTCAAAGGCAACCCCACATAGAGCGCGTTGCAGTAGTCTATACGAGATGTAACCAGAGCGTAGACTACCGTGACCAAGTCAGATTTCCCAAGGTATGGGCGCAGCTGGCGTACAAGTTTTAACTATGCAAATGCTCCTCTGGTTATCGCCGAAACCTGGGGTTCCAGGCTCAGCGATGAGTCTAGGATCACACCCAGGCTGCGAACTTGGTCCTTCAGGGGGAGTGTAACCCCATCCAGCACAGGCTGTAACTCTATACCCTGTTCAGCCTTACGACTGACCAGTACCTCTGTCTTGTCTGGATTCAATTTCAATTTGTTCGCCCTCATCCAATCCGTCACAGTGGCCAAGCACTGGTTCAGGAACTGAACAGCCTCCTTAGTAACAGGTGGGAAGGAGTGACAGATTTGGACATCATCTGCATACAGGTGACACCGCACTCCGAGAAGAAAAGGAGAAGACTGCACTGCAAATGGATCAACTCAATCAAGAAAGCCATGGCCCTGGGTCTGCAAGACTTGAGCAGGACTGATGATAGAGTGACCAGGAGGTCTCTTGTCCAAAGGGCCACCATAGGCCAAAGTCAACTTGATGACAGTTAACAACAAATGAGAGCATTCAATGCTCCTTTTGCAAAATAATACAATATTTCAAGTATGGTGGATGTGGGTGGATTAAAAATGACTCATTACCCTTTAGGAGTCAAATGAAATGTTGCCATAACAAAGTGGTTTGGAAGTGGAGGGAATATTTTCTAATTCTAACATCAAAGCAAGGATCCCATGATATTTATGGAACCACAGCACCACTATGCTGTTACATCTCCAGTCACCAGCTGCACTGATCTGCTCAAACAAAGAGTAGAATGAGAAAATACGATCTTACATCACTCTCAGGCAAGGGCATGAAATATAACTGGGAACTGGCCACACTTCCTGACATGGTTTGAGATCAGTGCTTTCCTGTATCATCATACAGAAAAGTCCCGCTTATCCAACCTTCGCTCATCCAAAGTTCTGTGTTATCCAACACTGTCTGCCTCCCGTCCAGATCCACAGCTGTTTCAATACATTGCGATGTTTTGGTGCTAAATTCGTAAATACAGTAATTACTACATAGCGTTATTGTGTATTGAACTTTTTCTGTCAATTTGTTGTAAAACATGATGTTTTGGTGCTTAATTTGTAAAATCATGATGTAATTTGATGTTTACTAGGCTTTTTCTTAATCCCTCCTTATTCTCCAACATTTATTTTATTTATTTATTTCGAACATTTTTCTCCCGCCCTTCTTAACCCTTTGGGGGACTCAGGGTGGCTTCCAATTGGCAACAATTCGATGCCGCATCATAAAATACAAAATGGCAATTATAACAGTTAAAAATATAAACATTAAGACATAAAAATTAAAACAGTATACTTACAGTCCATTGAGTTATTACCAGTCTGGTGGCTATTTATCTAGCCATATACTACTGAGTACTCTGCTTAACTTATCCAAATCCACTTCCAAGCCATAGTCAAACATTATCAATTGTCCTTTAACCTAGTTGCCCGAAGGCCTGGTCCCACATCCATGTTTTTACCTTCTTTCTAAAGGTGAGGAGGGATGATGATGACCTAATTTTCCCAGGAAATGAATTCCACAGGCAGGGGGCCCCCACCGAGAAGGCCTTGTCCCTCGTCCCTGCCAACCATGTTTGAGACAGAGGCGGAACGGAGAGCAGGGCCTCCCCGGAAGATCTTAAACTCCCAAGGTGGGGCATTTTCGCTTATCCAATATTCTGCTGGCCTGTTTATGCACCCCTCAACGCTCTTCCCACTTGAATACACGCCCCCCAAATGGGAAGTTTAGCTTCACAACTATGTGTGTTTTTATGAGTTCCCTGCAGATAACTTGCTCCTATTTTTATCTCATTAGAGTCATGAATTGTTTTTATCCTGTACATGTGGCCTGCCCACTGTTATTGTGATTGTGCTTATTAGAATGTTATTTTATGACTGTGTTTATATTTTTTTCTTCTTGATGTAATTTGATGATGTTGTTTATTGTTTATGCTTTGGTTTTATTTTGTTGTAATTTGTTGTCCGGGCTTGGCCCCATGTAAGCCGCTCCGAGTCCCCATTGGAGAGATGGTGGCGGGGTATAAAGTTTATATTGTTGTAATTATTATTATTATTATTATTATTATTATTATTATTATTATGTTGAATTAGCGAGACTCTACTGTATTTCATTGCTCTGCTCTCTGCTTGAGAAAGGAATGGAAATTGGAGAGGCAGCATTACACAGGGTCCTATGGTTTTATGAGTAATGACAGGGTCTTATCTTAAAATTAAGACGTAAAAGAGACAGTAGATGACTACATAACATAATAACGGAAAAGGTACATGCCAAGGCTACTGTTCTCTCAAAAAATGACTCATGCAACAAGCAACCTACCTTTTTTGTTGAAAACTGGAATTGCAGCTAATTAAATTAATGTCCCGAGGTTTTGCTCTATCATGTTACAAAAGTCTGTTCTTTATAATCTGATTAGATCTGGATGTCGCTAGTAAACCAAAGAAGATCTCATCAATTTGACTGCAAGGTTTCTAGCTTTTTAAAGGGTGCTTGTCCTTTTCAAACAGGAAAGCACAAAGCGTGGTCTATAACTCTGTGGCACCCTCATAACATCAAGCACAGCCTTATAGTGCAATTTGCTATTTAAGGTTATTTTTTTCCTCCTTGGATCGGTTTAATGGCAACACGTTTTTAAAGTGATCTTTCCAAAATGTCAAATTGTTTAATGTAGGCTCTCCACTGAGGACCCTTCCACACAGCCATATAACCCAGAATATCAAGGCAGAAAATCCCATAATATGTGCTTTGAACGAGGTTATCTGAGTCCACACTGCAATATATCCCACTTCGAAGCAGAAAATGTGGGATTTCATTCAGTTGTGTGGAAGGGCCCTCACACTCACTCCAGAAACAGGCCTGCAGATCTCAATTTAAATGGCAAATGTACTTTCCATGTCTTCTTGGGGGGGGGGGAGGGGGGATACTATTTACCACATTTTGCCAAGACCTTTTGGCAAAATTTTATTTGGCTTGACATGGCAAGGTTGACGGTTAGCAAGTATGGACTCTAGCACCTCAGCACTTGCTCACCACCATCTCTCTAAAACCTCTGAAGGATCTAGAGCAGTGATTCTCAACCTGGGGTCCCCAGATGTTTTTGGCCTACAACTCCCAGAAATCCAGCAGTTTACCAACTGTTAGGATTTCTGGGAGTTGAAGGCCAAAAACATCTGGGGACCCCAGGTTGAGAACCACTGATCTAGAGAGAATTCTGGTGCTCCGCCAACTGCTCTTTCAGTCTTGCCTGAAGAATAAGGCAATAAGACAAGAAGCAGGAGAACAATAGGTAAAATACCCTCTTACAATGCCTTAGGACGTTTCAAGGAAGAACAAGCGTCATGTGAAGATCAGTTAATTTAGGGCCCTTCCACACAGCCCTATAACCCAGAATATCAGGGCAGAAAATCCCACAATATCTGCTTTGACATGGGTTATCTGAGCCCACACTCAGATAATGTGGGCTCCTGCCTTGATATTCTGATATAGGGCTGTGTGGAAGCCCCCCCCCCCCCCCCCCCTGGTTGAAGGCTAAAACATCTATCCTATCGCATCAAACAGGGAAAAGTCCTGAAAGAACTTCAGATTGTTTTGAAAAAATCAGTTGCAGGGGGAATACAACTCACAAACTGATGTCAAATACAATACATACAGTTTTGCATTCAGCTCCCAAAAGTCAATATCGTCAGATTGCCAGGGATTGTTGGGGAGGCATGGTGATATCAAGTAATCGTTGGAGCGGAACTGTTCACAGTACTTCACAATCCTGAAAATATTGGAAATGAGAACAGGAAGATCATCCACAGGCAGTGTAGGAACGGAGGTGGTATTAAGAAGCACAGGTCATGCTTGAGTTCACAAAATGAAGAATATCTCAATATGCTTGGAGGCAAATTAAAATATGTAGAATCTCACACTTTCCTTTGGGGTGATTGAGTACCCACTGTTTCATGGATTTTGTAATGGTAAAATCAATCCCCAGAGAAAGCCTCTTTGAGAGGTAACTACTCAATACACTCATATAAAAATCAACTAAAAAAACCTGACTAGACTTATACAGAAAATAACAATTTCCTTCCCTGAAAGGATTGATGAAAGGCAAGAGCTTGTTGTTGTTCATTCATTCAGTTGTTTCCGACTCTTTGTGACCTCATGGAACAGCCCACCCTAGAGCTCCCTGTCGGCCCTCACCACCCCCCAGCTCCTTCAAAGTCAATCCAGTCACTTCAAGGATGCCATCCAGTCATCTTGCCCATGTTCGGCCCCTCTTCCTTTTCCCTTCCATTTTCACCAGCATTGTTATCTTCTCCAAGCTTTCTTGTCTTCTCATGATGTGGCCAAAGTACTTCATCTTTGCCTCTACTAACCTTTCCTCCAATGAGCAGTCAGGCTTTATTTCTCGAAGTATGGACTGGTTGGATCTTCTCACGGTCCGAGGTACTCTCAGAACTTTCCTCCAACACCACGGTTCAAAAGCATTTATCTTCCTTCGCTCAGTCTTCCTTATGGTCCAGCTCTCACATCTGTAGGTGACTATGGGAATACCATTGCTTTAACTATATGGATCTTCATTGCTAGTGTGATACCTCTACTCTTCACTATCTTATCGAGATTGGACTGCTCTCCTCCCAAGAAGTAAGTGTCTCCTGATTTCCTGGCTGCAGTGTGCATCTACAGTAATCTTTGCACCTAGAAATACAAAGTCCAACCTGCACACAGATTATTTGGGAACACAGAAATGCTGGACCACTCTAACAACTACCATGTGAGGCTACACAGAGAAGCCACTGAAATCCACAATCCAGTTCTTAAAAAAAACCTCTAAATTCAGGAGAGTACATAAAGAACATAAAGAACACTAAAAAAGGAGTACATAAAGAACACTAAAAAAGGGGGGGGGAATTCCGGAGAAGAATCAATCAGGTCCAGCTAACACCTCCAAACAAAGGATTCCCCCAGGCAGCAACCAGCCAGGCTTTGAAGCTACAAGGTCATTCAATGCTAATCAAGCTGGCCAATTACAATATTCACATTTGCCTCAAGCAGACCAGAGTTCTTTCTTCCACCCTGGACATTCCACAGATATATAAACCCCACTTGCCTAGTTTCAACAGATCTCACAACCTCTGAGGGTGCTTGCCATAAATGTGGGTGAAATGTCAGGAGAGAATGCTTCTGGAAATACAGCCCAGAAAACTCACAGCAACCCAGTGATTCCGGCCATGAAAGCCTTCAGCAACACAAGCTTTGATTTTTCTATAACCATATTGAAAATTCCTATTTTCTAAATACTTGTGCTGACAAAGATTCTGTTCTTAGTAAAGCATACACATCCCTTATGCAAAGAGCCTTGAGATTTCAAGATTACCTGATTATAATTATGGAAACAAAAGTGCTAATACACTAAAGACATTTCTAGAAAAAACAGCAAAACACTGCCTTTGTAAGCAGAATGCTATTTTTAAATCTTCAGGGCTGGAACACTCAAACATAATCATTTTCATAAGTGGCAAAATCATTCAATCAAATGAAGTACTAAATTCAGGTGAAATGTTTGTCTCTAACATAGGCATGACTTCCAGGAGAAAAGATTCTCTTTCCAAATGAGAACTGGTCATGTTAACTGGCAAATTCATAGACGCAGATGGGGGGGAAGGACACAAGACAGATGTCTTCTGTCGAGTCCCAACTGCCACAAAAATGGATTGTTTCCATTCCAAAATAGCTACTAGTCAAAGATTTATTTATTTCATCGTGTTGCTGAGAAGAAGGAATATTATTGTTTGAAATAATGTTGGCCAAGATTCTGATGGGCCAGCCAACTATGGAGATCATAAACACCTCATACAAGCTGAGTGGTGTGTGTCACTTAAAAACAGAAATAACATCAAGAGCTCAAAGGACTGAGCTTCAGGGCAGCCAGGATCGAAGGCTTAAAGCACACCAGGGATTTGCAGCATGCAATCAGCCCTCATTCATGTCTCTTTCCTATTTTTCAAAAAGACCCTAACATTATAAATATGCGGCACAGATACCTTAGTTCTTAATTCATTCTTCAATTAGTGAAAAATTACTCTGTGAAGGGTGAAAGTTTTTTTGGTGAAATGGGAACCAGTTAGCATCACATGGTGCCAACTGCTGCTTCTGATTCCAAGAAAACATTTTAAAGAGATGGACTGGAGGCATTCAAAACACACTGACTTCTGGATTCCAAAGTTGTAGGGTTTATACTACTGTTCCTATTGCATTCTAGTCCAGGAAATGCAGTTGGAGGATATAGACCTGATTGGATTAATTGTACTCCATGCTAGCATATCCACCCCTAACATTACTGCAGTCGCGGACTGCAGCCAGGAAATCAGAAGGCGTTTACTTCTTGGGAGGGGAGTAAGGATCAATCTCGATCAAAGAGTGAAGAATAGAGACATCACACGGGCTACGAAGATCCACATAGTTAAAGCAATAGTATTCCCCTTAGTAACCTATGGATGTGAGAGCTGTACTATAAGGAAGACTGAGTGAAGGAAGGTAGATGCTTTTGAACTGTGGTGTTGGAGGAAAGTTCTGAGAGTGCCTTGGATCACAAGAGGATCCAACCAGTCCATACTCCAGGAAATAAAGCCTGACTGCTCATTGGAGGGAAGGATAGTAGACGCCAAGATGACGTACTTTGGCCACATCATGAGAAGAAAGGAAAGCTTGGAGAAGAGAATGATGCTGGGGAAAATGGAAGGAAAAAGGAAGAGGGGGGGCGACCAAAGGCAAGGTGGATGGATGGTATCCTTGAAGTGACTGGCTTGACTCTGAAGGAGCTGGGGGTGGTGACAGCTGACAAGGAGCTCTGGTGTGGGATGGTCCATGAGGTCACAAAGTGTCGGAAGCGACTAAACAAATAAACAACAACAACCCCTAACATTCTTATTTCTAAAAATAATGGGATGGAGGCAGGAGCAGCAACAACATCAGCTATTGAATGCTAAGATTCTTGGCTTACAGACTCAAGGGTACCAAGAATATCAGAACTTACCCTCCTACAGAGACAGAGGACTTCACTCTGGTCTTCGCAATAGCCTGCTGGCAATACATGATCTACAAAAGGACACAGATCACATTTCTTAGTAGAACAGCAGATAACTGAGTGAAGTCCGCACCCACCAAAAAGCTAACACTATTTTCCCATAACATAGTGTAACTCAGTGGTTCCCAACCTTTGGTCTTCCAGGTGTTTTGGATTTCAGCTCTCACAATACCTAATAGCTGGTAAGATCACTGGGATTTCTGGGAGTTGAAGTCCAAAAAACTGGAGGACCAAAGGTTGGGAACTACTGGTGTCACTTCATCCATAAGGAGGGTTCTACTGATTAATATTTCTTAATATGAGTTAAATCACTTCTGTAATAATAATAATAAAAATCATCTTTATTTATATCCCACCACCATCTCCCCGAAGGGACTGGGACAGCTTGCAAGGCACTCCGAGGTGCACATATAACCAACAGGTAAAAATGGCACAAAAGTATAAAACAAGTCACATCTGTGGTGTCTTACATGGGAAAAGTGAGAAATAAACAAAGCATATTATTTATTGTGGACTCATTGCATACCCCTTATCATGCAAAACTCCAAACCTGTACTGTTCCTACAGTCTTCTCCATCTGCAACACGGAGAAGTAGGGATAACTGGATTATACTCATGGAAGAGAAGTGCGTGTATATGCTTATGCCCATGAACTGAAGGTATTAGACATGAACTGATATATACATTTTGATTTCAGCCATTGGGACATGATGGTGTTAAACTTGGGTTAAAGTTGGCAGCTGGGGGTAATAAAAGACAGGGAGCTAACCCTACCATTAAATGGAATGTGGTGGCCAATGGATGCAAACCATCCATTTTACCTAATTACGAATTAAGCATGATGACAGGAAGATGTCTGAATAGTTTACTCTGGGACATTAAAAATCTCCCCAGGTGTAAAGAAATGATATGTAGCAGAGTATATCTCTCATATCAAGGGGCGATACATTCCTGACCTTTCCATGGAAATAGAAAGCTATGGATAATAGCAAATTCCCTTGAAAAAAAATGACTTCTGCTGGAATTACCATATAGTTACCCTGGATGATGTAAAAAGTTCCAATTTGCTAGATCCTCCAGGGAAATGTAATGTTAACGTCTGACAGAAGCATACTATAGAACCACCTAGGCCAGGGGTCCACAAACTTTTTAAACAGAGGGCCAGGTCACAGTCCTTCAAACTGTTGGAGGGCCAGATTATAATTTGAAAAAAGCATGAATGAATGCACACTGCACATATCTTATTTGTAGTACAAAAACCACTTAAAAACAATACAATAATTAAAATGAAGAACAATTTTAAGAAATACAAACTTATTAGTATTTCAATGGGAAGCGTGGGCCTGCTTTTGGTTGATGACATAGGATTGTTTTTATTGTTGTGTGCTTTCATGTCGTTTCAGACTTAGGTTGACCCTAACCGAGGGCCGGGTAAATGACCTTGGAGGGCCGCATCCGGCCCCTGGGCCTTAGTTTGAGGACCCCTGACCTAGGTGATCGAGAAAATTCCTAGAGATAACATATTTTGTCTCATGCATGTAGATGAAACCACAGGTAGTAGCTCCTCAAGTAGAGGGGTTGGACCTGGTAAGGAAATCTCTAAGGTCCAAATTTTACTCATACATTACAAAAAACTAGAGGACTCCTGACTTGACAGCTATCTTGGAGTCCTCGTGGACAACAAGTTGAACATGAGCCAACAATGTGATGCAGCAGCTAAAAAAGCCAATGGGATTTTGGCCTGCAAAAATAGGAGTATGGTGTCTAGATCCAAGGAAGTCATGCTACAACTCTATTCTGCCTTGGTCAGACCACATCTGTGTCCAGTTTTGGGCACCGCAACTGAAGGGAGACCTATTTCTTAATCTCAAGATCAACAAGCTGGAATGTGTCCAGAGGAGGGCCGCTCAAATGACCAAGGGTCTGGAGAACAAGCCTTATGAAGAGGGGCTTAAAGAGCTGGGCATGTTTAGCCTGCAGAAGAGAAGGCTGAGAGGAGACATGATGAGGGCCATGTATAAATATGCGAGGGGAAGTCAAAGGGAGGAGGGAGCAAGCTTGTTTTCTGCTGCCCTGTAGACTAAGACGCAGAACAATGGCTTCAAACTATGGAAAAGAAGATTCCACCTTAACATGAGGAAGAACTTCCTAACTGTGAAAGCTGTATAGCTGTGGCACTATCTGCCCCAGAGTGTGGTGGAGGCTCCTTCTTGGAAGCTTTTAAGCAGAGGCTGGATGGCCATCTGTCGGGGGTGCTTCTTGGCAGGGGGCTGGATTGGATGGTCAATGAGGTCTCTTTCAACTCTATGATTCTATCAAATGTGTGGGCTTTTTGTTTCGTTTTGTTTTGTTTTTTGTTGTTGTTTTGTCATGTCAGGAGTGACTCCTGGTGTGAGAGAACTGGCCGTCTGCAAGGATGTTGCCCAGGGGACACCTGGATGATTTTGATGTTTTTATCATTCTTGTGGGAGGCTTCTCTCATGTCCCCGCATGAGGAGCTGGAACTGATAGAGGGAGCTCATCTGCCTCTCCCCGGATTCGAACCTGCGACCTGTCGGTCTTCAGTCCTGCCGGCACAGGGGTTTAACCCACTGTAGGTGCCCAAATGTATTTATGTAGCTTCTGTGTTGCTATAATAAGACATTCATATCTAAAATCCAGGGGAAATTTTTTGCTTATTATTATCAATGCAAACAATCACTGATTGATATTTATTATATACAATAAAAAGAAATTACCTCTTTCCTGTAAAATTCCATTGTTTTTTTCTGTAAAAAGAAGGGAAGACAATAACAAGATAAAAGTGAAAATCTTTGTGTGCGTGTGTGTTTAAAAACGGCATTTGAACAAGCTATTTTAGCATGTTTCAACATTAAAACTAAATTCAGACTAACATTTGCCCCAATCATCTAGCAATGAACGTACTGGTGTAAAATGTTTCCATCTGCCATATGATTTTTTGGGGAGGAAACCCGAACGTATTAAGCAAATAGTACTGCCTGCTCCTTCTCAGCCTACATATGTGTGTGCATTTAATTACAGGCTTATTCTAATGGAGCTAATCCAGATTCATTTAAGAGACAGTGATTAGATCATTCAGTCTTACTTAAAGGCGACAGGAACCGACACACTGCAAAACATAAACATTGCAATTAAAAGCCTCGGAAACAATATCTGCTGTGCTTATGCTGTGATTTAAATAGCTCAGATGATGTTATGTGTCATCCGCCAGCAAGCAAGCCCTGAAAGCTAGAAATTAACTGTGGGCTGTTTGTTCCAACAGCTTGCTTTGAAGTATCATGCCATGACTTTGTTTGGAACAAGCAGATGGAAACGGGGAAGGCGCCGCCAAACATAGGAAAACCCTTCGTTTTCTGGGGGCCCCTCTGGCTTCTGTGACTCACACAGGCACTCACTTGCCATGTGTGATGGGACCATTAACTGTTACATAAAAATGTGTGTAAAAGGGCCTGGATTGCAAATATAAGAGGCCTGTTCTGAGCAGATTTGTTTCCGTGTGACTTGGCTTGAGTGACTTGAGAAATTGCAAGTTGCTTCTGGTGTGATTAAATTGGCCGTCTGCAAAGACGCCCGGATGTTTTTGATGTTTTATCATCCTTGTGGGAGATTTCTCTCTTGTCCCCGCTTGGGAAGCTAGAGCTGACAGAGGGAGCTCATCAACGCTCTCCTCAGATTCGAACCTTCGACCTGTCGGTCTTCAGTCCTGCTGACACAAGGGTTTAACCCATTGTGCCACTGGGGGTACTTTTGAGCAGATGAGTAAAGGCTGAAGTCTGATATGAGTCTCATAGACCATAACTCCCCAAAAGTGCAGCTACATGAAACTTACTTTCTATCCCTGTATTAAATAACATATCTCTAGGAGAGAGCAAGGGCTGCTAAAGTAGATGTTGCTCTCCCAGAAATTATTGGGGAGAGAAATGAGGCAGCACTGTGACATTGCCTTGCAATTATTATTATTATTATTATTATTATTATTATTATTATTAATTGATATTAATAATAATAATAATAATAATAATTGTTGTTGTTGTTATTATTATTATTACCAGTACTACTACTAGCAGCAACTATATGCTGCTTTTTGTCTTTTAAAAGAGACTCAGAGGAAAGCAGTGTTTGAGGAGCTAAAGATTATCTCCTTACACAATGGGTTTGTGCTCACATAACCCTGATTACTCAAGCACATCACCAAACTGTGGCCCAGTCTATGAAATTCCAAATGGATATTTACTCATATTAATATGTGTATTAATACATGAGGAAGAGTTCAGCACTCCTTTCCTCTTAAGCTTTCTTTGTTTATATAGGACAGTTTGGAGAAATGTCCCAAATGCTAACATGTCATTAATCATCATCATCATCATCATCATCATCATCATCATCATCATCATCATCGTGTTAAAAAACAAAGTATTGATCGTCAATGTCTCAATCCCAGGTGACAGCAGGATTGCAGAGAAACAACAGGAAAAGCTGACACAAATGAGGATTTAAAGATCGAATTGCAAAGACTCTGGCACAAGCCAGTAAAGGTGGTCCCAGTGGTGATCGGCACACTGGGTGTGGTGCCTAAAGACCCTGGTCTGCACTTAAACACAATTGGTGCTGACAAAATTACCATCTGCCAGCTGCAGAAGGCCACCTTACTGTGATCTGCACGCATTATTCGCCGATACATCACACAGTCCTAGACACTTGGGAAGTGTCCAACCTGTGATCCAATACAACAGCCAGCAGAGTGTCTGCTGTGGACTCATCTTGTTGTGTTTCAATAATAATAATAATAATAATAATAATAATATCAACTTTATTTGTATCCCACCCCATCTCCTCGAGGGAAATTGGAGCAGCTTACAAGACAATAATAGTGCAAACAATAAACAATAATTAAGATAAACAACAAAATTAACTTAAATCAACAAAAACGTGACACAAAATAAAATAAAATAACATTAAACTGACACAACATAGCTATTCCCTCTTTATATTCAACACAGAGGACCACTGTTGACCAAATGCGCCACCAGGAAGAGGGAAATGGAGGAGACCCACAGTAGTTGTTGGACTCCAAATCCCATCAGTCTCAGCAGGCAAGTCTGAGGTCAGGGACAATGGGATTTGTTTTCGACATCAACTGGAAAGTGCATTTGACGAAGTGGACTAAGTCCAGGATAAACTGTTGGTCCTGATCCCATATGGGGTACCCTTAGCTCAGTGTTGGGGTCCTGAAAAATCTGGCACCAGTAAAAGATTTCTGAGTGCGACCTAGAGACTGTTATAGACATTTACACACATCTGTTATTCAGTGTTTACAGTTGATTCTGCAAAAGATGCTCCAGCTGTACTTTATAAAAAGGAAAATCTGCCTGTTTAACAAGTCTTGCAAATACTGGCTTGTTATCAGTAAATATTTGATTTTTATACCTATTTTTATTCCTGTACTAGCCGTCCCCTGCCACGCGGTGCTGTGGCCCAGTCTGTGTATATGTGGGTTGTTGTAGGCTTTTTCGGGCTATATGGCCATGGTCTAGAGGCATTCTCTCCTGACATTTCGCCTGCATCTATAGCAAGCATCCTGAGAGGTAGTGAGGTCTGTTGGAACTAGGAAAAAGGATTTATATATCTGTGGAATGACCAGGATGAGACAAAGATCTCTTGTCTGCTGGAGCTAGGTGTGAATGTTTCAACTGACCACCGTGATTAGCATATAATGGCCTGACAGTGCCTAGAGCAAACTTTTGTTGAGAGGTGATTAGATGTCCTTGTTTGTTTCCTCTCTGTTGTTGTGCTGTTGTATTTTTGTGTATATGTGTTTTGTGTGTGTGCATGTGTGTGTATATATGTCTGTTTGCATATATATGTGTGTGTGTGTGTGGTTTTGCACATATGTTGTAATGTATTTTTTTTAATTTTTGTCTTTTTAAAGTCTCTTCTGGTGTGCTTTTCAGTGTTTTGATGAGTGATGGTCACTCGTTGGCCTGATAGGTGTATTGTGTCCAAATTTGGTGTCAATTCGTCCAGTGGTTTTTGAGTTATGTTAATCCCACAAACGAACATTACATTTTTATTTATATAGATATCCGAGGTCACGTAAAAATGTCTAGGGCTGAAAATGGCAACGAGGGAAAAATTCAAGAAGCCTGGTTTATACTACCAACTTGTTATCTCTGTTAGTCTCCAAGATGCTATAAAATCCCTTTGTATGCAGTAAGAAACGTTAGATACAGGGCAAAAGAGAGGCCTATGGGGAATACAATATAGATAACAATCAATACAATACAAAACAGTACAATAGAAAAACATGCATGAAAATATGGAACAAGTGCAGTTTCAATATGTGACTCTCCTTTGTTCCCTTTTGTTTGAGATTCCTATTTATCATATAGATATTCCCAAGTCTACTGAATCGAATGAGACCCACTGTTCTAATTTTCTCAGAACAGTGTTTCTGAAATAAACATTACAGCTCTACAAGGAGAACACCGGCGATATAGCAGAATGTGACTCATATGGAGATTATAGTGCTTTAATCTTCTACAGTACAATCAGTCAAGGACTTCACAGACAGGAAGGCCATACACACATCGGAGAAAAGTAGACTGGAGAGAAAGAGAAAAGAGAAGAAAAAGAGGGGGGAAATGGTTAATTAACAGTTTCAGAGAGAAACAAAGCTCGTAATGTAATGGGTATTTTAAACTCAATATTTTTATGCATCTATTTTCACCTTTAATATCACTTCAGGCATTCATACATCCTCCATACAAAGCCTATTATCTAAATACAATACAATGTATTTGGTTAGAATTGTTACCATTAGCCAGAGCTTCAAGTGTTTATTACACATCTGAGGGCCCTTCCACACAGCCAGAATATCAAGGCAGAAAATCCTGCAATATTTGCTTTGAAATGGGTTATCTGAGTCCACACTGCCATATATCCCAGCAAAGCAGATAATGTGGGATTTAATGCACGATTGCAGTTCCATGAACACTTGCTTACAATTAGAAGTATTTTTCCACCTGAGACTTGAAGAAAGTCCATGCTGGGTTGCTGTGAGCTACCCAGGCTGCGTGGCCATGTTCCAGAAGTATTCTCTCCTGACATTTTGCCTGCATCTATGACAGGCATCCGCGGAGGTTGCCTGCCATAGATGCCATTACTGCGGAAGAAGATGCAGAGCAAGAATAGGGCTCCACAGCCACATACGGACCCACAAGAATATTGGAAGACAATCATCCTCGGAAAGCGAGGGATCGCCTAAGTAAGTAAGTAAGTAAGATCCACCGAAACTGGGTTCTACAGACCAAGGGATATTCCACCACAGACATCAGAAAAGCTGCAAGACCAAAAACAAGCCAAAAGAGTAAAGACAAAGGAAAGATGTTCTTACCATACATCAAGGGAATCACTGACCACATAGGGAAGCTGATGAGGAAACACAACCTACAAACTATCTACAGACCCACCAAGAAAATCCAACAAATGCTACGTTCAGCAAAGGACACGAGGGATCCTCTCACTTCTGCAGGAGTCTACCATATACCATTCAGCTGTGGACAAGTCTACATAGGGACCACCAAACGCAGCATTGCCCAGACACGAATCAAGGAACATGAAAAGGCACTGCAGACTACTTCAACCAGAGAAGTCAGCCATAGCAGAGCATCTGATGAACCAACCTGGACACAGCATATTATTTGAGAACACAGAAATGCTGGACCACTCTCACAACCACCATGTCAGATACACAAGAGAAGTCACTGAACTCCACAAGCATGTGGACAATTTCAACAGAAAGGAGGAAACTAGGAAAGTGAACAAAACCTGGCTACCAGTATTTTTTTAAAAACTCGAAAATCAGCACAGTAAATATAAAGGAACACTCAAACAACAGGGGAATTCCAAACAGGAAAGAATCAGGGCCAGCTAACATCTCCCAACAAAAGATTCCCCCACGCAGTAAGACCTTGAAGCATCAAGGCTTTGTTGTTGTTGTTCATTCGTTCAGTTGTTTCCGACTCTTTGTGACCTCATGGACCAGCCCACACCAGAGCTCCCTGTCGGCCGTCACCACCCCCAGCTCCTTCAAGGTCATCCAGTCACTTCAAGGATGCCATCCATCCATCTTGCCCTTGGTCGGCCCCTCTTCCTTTTTCCTTCCATTTTCCCCAGCATCATTGTCTTCTCTAAGCTTTCCTTTCTTCTCATGATATGGCCAAAGTACTTCATCTTTGCCTCTACTATCCTTCCCTCCAATGAGCAGTCAGGCTTTATTTCCTGAAGTATGGACTGGTTGGATCTTCTCACGGTCCAAGGCACTCTCAGAACTTTCCTCCAGCACCACAGTTCAAAAGCATCTATCTTCCTTCGCTCAGCCTTCCCTATGGTCCAGCTCTCACATCCGTAGGTGACTATGGGGAATACCATTGCTTTAACTATGTGGATCTTTGTTGCCAGTGTGATGTCTCTACTCTTCACTATTTTATCGAGATTGGACATTGCTCTTCTCCCAAGAAGTAAGCATCTTCTGATTTCCTGGCCACAGTCTGCATCTGCAGTCATCTTTGCACCTAGAAATACAAAGTCTGTCACGGCCTCCACATTTTCTCCCTCTATTTGCCAGTTGTCAATCATTCTTGTTGCCATAATCTTGGTTTTTTGATGTTTAACTGCAACCCAGCTTTTGCGCTTTCTTCTTTCACCTTGAGTAGAAGGCTCCTCAGCTCCTCCTCACTTTCGGCCAGGCTATTCAAGGTTGCACCATTCACACTTGCCTCAAACAGACAAGAGTTCTTTCTTCCACCCTGGCCATTTGCCTGATTTCTAACAGACATCACAACTTCTGAGCCTGTCTGCCATAGATGCAGGCAAAATGTCAGGAGAGAATGCTGCTGGAACATGGCCATACAGCCTGGAAAACTCACAGCAACCCAGTGATTCCAGCCAGGAAATCCTTCGACCACACAGAGTTCATTCTTACATTATTAGGCAGGTCAGGGAGAAAGCACCAAAACTAGCATGTTTTGCAATGTTAGAATTTGGAAATGTGTGAATAAATAAAGTGATATGAGCTTTTGATAGCATACAAAGCCTAGAATCATCTTCTGTGTAAGGCTGAAATATGAAAGCAACTCTCGCTTAGGGCAATAATCTCTCCCCTCCCCTGCAACCCAGTTTGTGCTTGGTTCCCCATGCCTAGCAGACTCTTGTTCTCCTTTGGAAAAATATATTATCAACCTCTGTATTAGTATCTAGCTTTCCTCCACTGTCTCCAAGGCAACCAAGCCCATTTGGCCATAGCAACTACCTGTGTCCAACAGCTGAAATGGCCAGGTGAGCCCTTACTTAAATGAAAAGTTTATGAGGACTGAAATGGTTTGGAGACAAGAATGTCCCCAAGGAAGACTTCAGCTTCCTATAAGCAAATCAATATCCAAGCTTCACTGTCAACAAAGGGTCTAGTTGTCTATAAATAGAGTATCACTTCAAAAAAACCTGGTGTGTGATCACTGGTTTGCTGTAACGGGCAGCAATACATTAGAAGGTATTTTCTGCCAGAACTATTCCACACATTAGTCCAAAACATCCTTTTTCATAGAATCAAGGAATCAAAGAGTTGGAAGAGACTGCATGGGCCATCCAGTCCAACTCCCTGCCTCTGTTTAAAAGCTTCCAAAGAAGGAGCCTCCACCACACTCCGGGGCAGAGAGTTCCACTGCTGAACGGCTCTCACAGTCAGGAAGTTCTTCCTCATGTTCAGGTGGAATCTCCTTTCTTGTAGTTTGAAGCCATTGTTCCGCGTCCTAGTCTCCAAGGAAGCAGAAAACAAGCTTGCTCCCTCCTCCCTGTGGCTTTCTCTCACATATTTATACATGGCTATCATATCTCCTCTCAGCCTTCTCTTCTTCAGGCGAAACATGTCCAGCTCCTTAAGCTGCTCCTCATAGGGCTTGTTCTCCAGACCCTTGATCATTTTAGTTGCCCTCCTCTGGACACATTCCAGCTTGTCAATATCTCTCTTCAATTGTGGTGCCCAGAATTGGACACAATATTCCAGGTGTGGTCTAACCAAAGCAGAATAGAGGGGTAGCGTTACCTCCCTAGATCTAGATTTTTATTCCAACACATTTTTTTGTGATGGAAACAAAATCAGATTTTACAAGGGTCTAGTTCTAAATGTGGTGGCACAGTGGGTTAAACTGCTGAGCTGCTGAGCTTGTTGACGAAAAGGTCACAGGTTCGAATACAGGGAGTGGCGTGAGCTTCCGCTGTCAGCCCCAGCTTCTGCCAACCTAGCAGTTCGAAGACATGCAAATGTGAGTAGATCAATAGGTACCACTCCAGTGGGAAGGTAATGGCACTCCATGCAGTCATGCCAGGCACATGACCTTGGAGGTGTCTATGGACAATACCAGCTCTCTCTTGGAGATGAGCACCAACCCCCAGAGTCGGATACAACTGGACTTAATGTCAAGGTAAAAACTTTACCTTTTTAGTTCTAAATGAGGGACTACGTCTAGGTTTGGAATATGCCTTCTTTGAAATCACTACTAATGCAACTTTTCTCTTTATTTCTTTATGCCTTCTTTGAAATCACCACTAATGCAACTTTTCTCTTTATCTCTTTCTAATCTTCTCTTACAAATATATTGCATAATGAAAAGCTCCTTGTCCAAAAAAGACTGTATTAAAAAAGATGTCGGGGGAAGGCTACACAGTGCATTGTTGTCACTGTGTGCCTTCAAATAATTTCAGACTTAATGGCAATCCTAAGGTGAACCTATCACAAGGTTTTCTGGGAATGAGAATGTGTGACTTACCCGGATATACCTAGTGGGTTTTCATTGCCAAGTGGGGATTCAAACCCTGGTCTCAAAAAGCATAGTCCAACACCCAAACTACTATGTCACGCTGGCTCTAGGCATGGCTCACCAGATCAAATGATTGGTATTACAATTTTGAATATTTGGCTTCCATCTGCTACAGCCAAGAACTAGGTTCATTCCAGCACTCTGATCCAATTAGTTTCATGTGCCAATCTTTTCTTATATCATATCAAAGTCTTTCCCCAAAATTGTGACATCAGGCAGGTATCAGAATAATTGGTTTACGAGGATTGAATGAAAAGCAATGCCTCCACCTTCGTTACTTGGGTTTGGATGGGAATATTTTAATAAATCAAACACAGAAATAATCCTTAGAATGTGCTCTTTAAATACCACTATTCACTTTTTCCACATAATCACCAGACAATTGGATACATTTCTGCCAACAATGAATGAGTTTTCTGAAGCCGTCACGGAAGAAGTCGACACACTGTTTTTGCAACCCATTGTGCACAGATCTTCCAATAGCCAAGCAAAGCAGTAATTTGACCCACACGTTCTTGTGAAATGCCGATTATGCTTGAGGTTTCTCTCTGAGTGATACAATGATTGTCCTGAATCAATCTGTCAACCTTTTGCTTGTGAAACTTAGTGGCTGCTGTCACAGGACGTCCAACACTTTGTCATGCAAGTCAGATGTTCCCACCTCAACATCTTTAAACTTACTCGCCCAACAACGCACAGTACTCACATCAACACAATCACCATAAACAGCTTGCATTCTCTGATGAATCTCCTTAGGGGTGACACCTTCCGCCTTTAAGAATTCAATGACTGCATGTTGCTTAAGTCGCATTAACCGACCGTCTGCGCAGGGTTCCATACTTTGCGCTTTAACAACACAACTGTTCAATGCTAAGGCTTCCTACCAAAATGGAACTGTAGAGGAGAGTCTACTGAACAAGCCAGTACCTGCCGCATACCAGTACTGCCATCTGTTGAGGAGTTACTAAGGTGGAGGCATTACTTTTCATTCAACCCTCGTATATCTCAATTTTGAGGAAGAAAGAATTTTGTAGAATGACACACAGAAAAAGGAACTGCAAGGACCTCAATGTGAATCCAGTCGGTTAGAACTTCAATTTTTTTTGCCGGTTGACTGTTCAGTATAGATCAAGCACTTTCAAGTATCCATTAATGCTGGAACTCCCTTCCTGCCCATTGTCAACATTAAGAATTTTAATATGAATGAAATGTTTGAAAGCTTTATCATTGTTCTAGACTATAATCACAACACTGCTGAACAATGTATTCTTACCTATTTTACCGTATCTTCAAGGGGATCAGTTGCTCGGTCTAAGCCATAGTCAAGTGAGTCTAGCATTCCTGGCTGTTATATAGTAAAAAAACAAACCACAAGAAAGATGTTACATTTTATTTTTAACTTAATACGTTTACAATATTGGATATTGCTAAACAGACAAATTCATTTGAAGTTGCAAGGGAATTCATTTTGAAACAAAAACACACATGTGAATCGTATTGATATATATTGTTGAAGGCTTTCACGGTCAAAATCACTGAGGTGTTATGTAGTTTCTGGGCTGTATGGCCGTGTTCTAGCAGCATCTTCTCCTGAAGTTTCACCTGAAGATGTCAACCACAGATGCAGGCAAAATGTCAGCAGAAAATGCTGCTAGAACATAGCCATACAGTCCGGAAATCACACAACACCCCATATCAATATAACTCAGAATACTATAGTTCTTCTATAGTTCTCAACCTGTGGGTCCCCAGATGTTTTGGCCTTCAACTCCCAGAAATCCTAACGACTAGTAAACTGGCTGGGATTTCTGGAGGTTGTAGGGACCCACAGGTTGAGGGCCACTGTTCTATAGAATGGAGAACATGTGGCCCCAGATGTTGATAGACTATAATTTCCATCATTGTTATGGATGATGTGAGCTAAAAAAAGGCGAAAGATTTATACGATCTGAAGAGAAACCAGAGTATTGCATTCATATTGTGTTTTTTTCTCATAGAAATAAGGAAATACCATAGGCAGGATGACATATATTCTACAATACTGCACAAAAAGGAAATCCCTAGCTTTAAAATTAAGCATTCCCATGATTTCATCTTTCGAGGCGGATGAGCTCCCTCTATCAGCTCCAGCTCTTCATGCGGGGACATGAGAGAAGCCTCCCACAAGGATGATAAAAAAAATCAAATCATCCAGGCATCCCCTGGGCAACGTCCTTACAGATGGCCAATTCTCTCACACCAGAAGCAACTTGCTCCTGACACGACAAAAATCTTTCATTCGTAAAACTCAGTTTTCCTACACATCACAGAATTCTTGGATCAAAGCTTTTTATATTTTTTCATTTTAATTTTAATGCACAAACAACCCAGCGATGACCAAGTGTGGCCTCAACTCTCAATAGGCAGTAGGACTCACTTGGCACTTACTTTTTTTCTTGGTCTTCAAGCTAGAATTTTACATTTCCTTTTAATGTAGGAACTGTATGGAATTAATTTTTTTTTTTGGTCTTGTCAGGAGCAACTTGAGAAACTGCAAGTCGCTTCTGGTGTGAGAGAATTGGCCGTCTGCAAGGACATTGCCCAGGGGACACCCGGATGATTTGATGTTTTTATCATCCTTGTGGGAGGCTTCTCTCATGTTCCCACATGAGGAGCTGGAGCTGACAGAGGGAGCTCATCTGCCTCTCCCCAGATTTGAACCTGTGACCTGTTGGTCTTCAGTGCTGCCGGCACAGGGGTTTAACCCACTGCGCCACCGGGGGTTCCTTGGAATTTAAATAATGCTCCCACTCACATAGCAGATTCCCAGATTAGTTTAGTGTTTACACCTTATTTTATTTTTCTGGTTATTTAATATTTAATGTTTATTTTACTTAAGTGATATTTGTCTTGACTGTTCTAATGTAGCACAAATCCTATGTAAAATCATACTACGTATTTTTGACATTAATATTGAAATCTGAAATATATACAGAAAGTCTTTACTTAGCAGGCACACGGTGGGAATGATTTAATGGTGGTTTATAGAGAAGCATACATCTGGGTCTCACTGATACAAGTGATGAAACCCCAAGTAACAACAAGATAGGTTCTGTAGATTTGTTCTTAAGTTGAATTTGTATGTAAGTCGAAACAGATACATTTTTAAATGTAGCTTTTTTAAAGCTTTGGACAGCATAGGGAAGGGTTAAGACCACTGTTGTATTTATTGTGCTGTCTGTGTCCCTGTTCAGAAGGTTTCATCTCACTTTCCGTCCCTGTGATCTTGAAAAAAAATGCCTTGTTGTGAAAAAAAGATTGGTGAGAAAGCTTCAGTTGAGATGCCTTTTTCCCCATGATAACTCTTTCAGGAGTGAATTTGGGCCCTTCCACTCAGCCCTATATCCCAGAATATCAAGACAGAAAATCCCACATTATCTGAGTGTGGACTCAGATCACGCATTTCAAAGCAGATATTGTGGGATTTTCTGCCTTGATATTCTGGGATATAGGACCGTGTGGAAGGGCTCTTTCTCTTCCGAGGGGTAGATTTCTCTCACTTACTGCTGTATCATCCCCGTTCTTAACTATGATTTGTTTGTAAATCAGATGTTTGCCACTAGGAGACTGCCTGTATTTTGCTAAAGGCCATTGCTGTGGGCCCCTTGAAGTTATGGTCAAAGTCTTGCAAAAATGAGAAATATTGAAATACTCAAAACTCCCATTTTTATATTCAGGTTGAAAATCCCTTTTTCAAAATCCACAACTGTCAGTGGATGAAATAGATATAGTAAAACCTTGCTTTCTGTTGGTTCACTCTACAAAAACCTCCTTCCATACACAAAATTATTAAAATAATTCTGTATAAAAGGCTATGCGTACAAGGTGAACAAAAGTTAAAGATAAACGTATTAAAAGTATTAAAAAAACTCTAAAATTAGAATAGCACAACAACAGAGAGGAAACAAACAAGGACATCTAATCACCTCTCAACAAAATCTAGCATGGGATTGTCTGAACAATATGCTAATCAAGGTGGTCAGTTGAAACATTCACACCTAGCTCCAGCAGACAAGAGTCCTTTGTCCCACCCTGGTCATTCCACAGATATATAAACCCTTTTCCTAGTTCCAACAGACCTCACTACCTCTGAGGATGCTTGCCATAGATGCAGGCGAAACGTCAGGAGAAAATGCCTTTTGAACATGGCCATATAGCCCAAAAAAACCTACAACAACCCAGAGACTTCTTCTGCTGGGGAGAGAAAAAGACACCACAGATCCCCTGCCTCAGATATTCTATGGACTGAACTCATCTCCATTTCTAAGCCAAAGAGCCAGCGTTGTCCATAGATGCCTCCAAGGTCATGTGGCTGGCATGACTGCATGGAGTGCTGTTACCTTCTCTCAGAAGTAGTACCTATTGATCTACTCACATTTGCATGTTTTCGAACTGCTAGGTTGGCAGTAGCTGGGGCTAACAGCAGGAGCTCACCGCACTTGCCGGATTTGAACCACCGACCTTTCGATCAGCAAGTTCAGTAGTTCGGTGGTTTAACCCGCTGCACCAGGGGCTCCATACAAGGTGAATATGAAACATACATGAATTTTGTGTTTAGTCTTTGGTCCCGTCTTTAAGTTAGGAGGGGTATTTTTTAAGTAAGGTCCGTTTTGTTGTAGACACTAGTAGTTTGTGCGCATACCGCAACGAGCACGTGCGTCGTGTACTGGCATGCCTCGGGAACAACTGTGCTCAGTTTCCGCTCTGTAGCTAACCTGTACGGTTCTGTTCTATGCTTTAAAAATGTTTAAGACTATCAACTCACCTGTCGCTTGTGAGGTTCGCTCAGTGATACGTTTTTTGTCAGCAAGGAACCTGCCTACTGCAGAAATTCATCGACAGATTTGTGAAGTGTACGGTGATACTGTTATGAGTGAAAGCAAAGTGCGTAAGTGGGTACGACAATTCAAAGATGGCCGTGACAACGTCCATGATGAGGACCGCTCCGGTCGCCCTTCTTTGATTACAGACGATTTGGTGGCTTTTGGTGGCAGCAAGTTTTTATGAAGAGGGTATTTTAAAATTGGTTCAGAGGTATGATAAGTGTTTGAACAAACTTGGCAACTATGTCAAAAAAATAGAGTGAAGTATGTACTTTCTGAAAATAAATTTACTTTTTTGAAATAAACTTTCGTTGCGTACTTATGTTCAAACAGACCTTATTTAAAAAATACCCCTCGTATTTCCTTATGTATATGTACCTTGGGAAGTCTGACTTGGCCATGGTAGTCTACGCTCTGGTTACATCCCGTATAGACTACTGCAACGCTCTCTACGTGGGGCTGCCTCTGAAGACTGCTCGGAAGCTTCAAATGGTCCAACGTCGGCAGCCAGGATGCTAACAGGAGCGGCACTCAGGGAGCATACAACTCCTCTGTTGCGCCAGCTCCACTGGCTGCCAATTTGCTACCGGGCACAATTCAAAGTGCTGGCTTTAGCCTTTAAAGCCCTAAACGGTTCTGGCCCGACCTATCTGTCCGAATGCATCTCCTCCTATGAACCAGTTAGGACGTTAAGATCGTCTGGGGAGGCCCTGCTCTCGGTCCCGCCAGCCTCACAAGCACGTCTGGCGGGGACGAGAGACAGGGCCTTCTCAGTAGTGGCCCCCCGGCTTTGGAACGCCCTTCCTACAGACATTAGATCGGCCCCCTCCTTATTGGCATTCTGGAAGAGAGTGAAGACCAGGCTCTTCAAACAGGCTTTTAACTAAACAGTGCAATTGATTGTTTACTGGAATATGGATTAATGGACAACGAGATCGGATGCTGATTCTATTGATGAGACGTGATGGATTGTTGTTTTGCTGTATTGTTGCATTGATGTTTTTGATGTTAATTAATTGATACTACTGTTTTAAATAACTAATGATTTTGTACTGTGTTGCTGATACTGGTTGTTAACCGCTCTGAGTCGCCTGATGGCTGAGAAGAGTGGTATACAAGTAAAGTAAAGTAAATAAATAATAATAATAATAATAATAAATATTCCAGAATCCAAAGCATTTCTGGTCCCAACAGTTTTAGATAAGGGATACTTATAATAACAGATTAAAAGCCTTGTGCTTCATTGCATCTGATACCTATGATGACAGAAAATATATTTTCTAAGTGTTAAAAGTATATTTTAGCATGGGAAGTCACGGCGTAGAGAGGAAGCATTGCCCAGTGAAGGCAAGAAGGGCTTGATGTGGCAAACAGATTGGTACCAGCTATCGCATCTGCTTTGAACACAGCTGAGTTTTGATCAGCTATCTGATGTCCACTGAAGTCTGGTCATCAATAATTAAGCCCCAGCCGGTGCTATCTT